CAAACCACATGCTCTTTGGGATGATCGAATTAAAAATATTATAAAGACAATTCAAAGTGAACATAAAAGCTTGAGAATTTTTAAGAAAGATGTCACTCAAATTTTTTTTTTCACAAAATACGGATCCTACTTGTAAATAAGATCGTTGTCTCGACCTTATAAGTTGCAAAATATTGACTTTTAACGACAATGATAAAATTCTTGTATTATCAACTTACTAGCATTTGTTAGTTGTTTGCCTCATTTAGACTGTTGCATTGGGTTTTGAGAACTTTCCCTTGGGAATCGCATCAGCACGAAGACATGGACCCCGTATGCAGAAGATTATTATATAATAACATATTGCCACGAATAAAGAGATATTAAAAAAAATTAAGACATCGTGTTGTCATGTTTCATCAAGTTCAATTACAAAGGTTCGAAATGAAATATGAAAGTTCATAACCTTCTTCAATTTTTAACTAAATACTCAACAAAACTTTAGTTATCATTTTAAATATGCAAATGGTAAGGTGAAAAATATTCGAACAAAGTTTTACAAATAAATAAATGCACTTATTTATGAAGTTCAACAGAACAGAAATTAAAGTTATAGCACTGGCTATGACATTGTCTCAAGTCAGTCTGAAACTGTCAATATTGTTCCAGTACGTTAAATTCTGGTGGTTTGAACTCTATAGTACTATCTTTGTCTCTGAAGAGTCAGAAAATTATTGTTTGATAATTTAATCAAAAAGTCTCCTTTCCCTGCATATTATTGAAATGTCATCAGCTTTACTGGTACATGTCTCTCAAAATGTTTTCATTGATTGGTGGACTAGTTACAACGAAACATGCATGTTCATTATGACAAAAGTGCCCTGGATTCATTTAACGGGTTTCAAAAAATATCTCTGTGATAGCATTCACTATGAGGAAAAAATGAAAATGTGTCGATTGGATTCCTTTAGAGACCAGTTCAGTGAGAAATCATACCGGTTTTGATAAAAGATTAAACGCAACATCGACCACAGTGACTGCCTTTAATGTATACATCATTTGCCCTCTTTCAATTAATGAATTTGTCTCTTTATCTCTAGTATTTGCTCTTGTACAATTCTGTGCTCTTTAATGTGACGCTTTGAGCTCGATAGTTGACTCTTGCTCTACAGAAGGTCCCAAAAGCATTTAATGGTTTGTGTACATGGTTTTAAACTTCAATGAGAAAATTGTTTGGAGAGCTTGCATGTATTGATTCAATTACAGAGAAATCATGCTGAGTTAACGCAGTTTTATCATTTAATATTATTATAAAATCTTTTCAACATTTGATGCATCGACTTGCCTTTGTCAATCATCTCCCTTGTCCATCAAGGGTAAAGATGTGAAAAACTAAAACTCATGTTAAATTTGTTTCTTTGCCTTTATTTCTAAATAGTTAGTACTTCGTGATGGGAAGGTCATGTGTTCGAATCTCGACTGCGACTCACTTACATTGTAAGTCGAGTGAGTGAGTGTAAGTATGTTGTTTAACGTCCCTCTCAAGAATTTTTCACTCATATGGAGACCCAACCACTTGCCGGTGGAGAGCTGCAAATTTTGTCCTTTATTTGGCACTCAGGTCCATTGAACAGAGAGGGATCTTCTTCATGCCAGCACCTACTGCGACACGAGACCTTGGTTTGTACAGTCTCATCCAAAGGACCGGTCTCAACGTCCGACAGTGGGATTCAAACCCACGAATTAAGGATCAAATCCTTACTTCGCTCTAACCACTGCGATACGCGGGCGATTCAACCGATAAGGAATAGGTAGCTTTTGTTTCTTCACCATGCTGTCTATATTTTCAAGTGTAAGATGTTGTCCTTCAGATGAAGCCTTATATTCCTAGGTCCTGTGTCAGGCAGGCATTGGCAGGATAAAGAATCCTCGTTGCTCAATGGCCCTAAGTGCCAAATAAAGGTCTTAATTTGAAGCCTTTTACTGGTATATGGTGACGTCTCTTTATGAGTGAAAAATTCTTAAATGGGAATTAAAACGACATACCGTCAATTTATTTATTAAGTGATAAATGCAAAGCAAAAAGAAAATTGAAAATTTTCCAAAACAGCTCCTAAACATGTTAGAAAAAATGTGCCCTGTGGCAACGCACTTTGAAAAAATTACGCACTTTGAAAAATTTTTTCAAAGTGCGTTAATTTTTGGGACCAGGTTAACGCACTTTGAAAAAAAAAAATTTTTTCAAAGTGCGTTAATATGGACCATATTAACGCACTTTGAAAAAAAAATTCTGCATGGCTTAATCAATATTCCTACAAATCTTAAGTATGATAACTTATCATTTGAACCTGATTTGATACCTTTTGTCCCCCGCTTGAAAAGTTGGGGATATTAATTTGGATCTACCTGTCCGTCCGTCCGTCTAGCTGTCCGTCCATCCGTCTTTCTGTAACGCTTTCGTTTCCACACGATATCTTTGAGCTTTTGCAATGAAATTTAACATAACAGAATCCCTGTGGCCTTAGGAAGACCCCTTTTGAATTTGGGGTCAAAAGGTCAACATTCAAGGTCGTAAAGAACTACGAACGATAGTATTATTCTTCCGCCTATCTATAAGTCAGTTCTCAAAAGTTAACATCTTGGAATGATTCTCAAAATTTTTATACATATTTATATGAATTTTCATAAAACCTTACTTATTTGGGATACCAAAGAGAGATAACTCTATAATTTTGGCAAAACTTGTGTTTTCCACAATAGAAATCAACGGAAAACTGAAAATATTTTTAAAACAACTCCCCCCCCCCCCCCCCGTGAAACTCCTTTTTACAGATAATATGGACTGTCATTTTACAAATTTATGCCAAAGCTTTTTGTGTTTCATTATGTTTATAGACAAAAAACGAAAAAAAATGCTTATTTTTCACCAATTTTAAAGCTATTTAAAACTAAATAATTGTATTTTATTAATTTATATATGCTTTATTTATTTGCGTAAAACATGAGAAAAGATATTAGATACATGTTAAATGAACAATTCCTATGAAAATATCATGTAAGTTAAATACCTGGAGGTTAACAGAGAGATTATCAGATATGGTATCAAATTAACATCGAAAAGTAGACAGGTACTTAACATAATTAAATGTAATTAATGTAATTAATATTCTGATTTTCCTGAAAATGAACATAAATAGACTTTGAGATTTAAAAGAACAAAATTTCGATTTACTACAGACTTCCTTGTACAGTGCTTATACTGTATTTAGAATGCTCTTTTTTTCAAATATCATTGACACTTAAGTCAATTCCACACAGAAAAAAATAACATACACATAAAGTAGTAATAACACACATAATCGCATCACTATATCCCATCATACGTTGCGAGGGGGTAATACTGTTGTCTATTTCTAAAATATAAGTCTAATTCCTTTTGTTTCATGAAAATTTTTTCAAAGTGTGTTAAATGTTTACATGGTGTAAAATTATGATGTACAGCTTAACGCACTTTGAAAAATTTTTTCAAAGTGCGTTGATTTTTCAACGCACTTTGAGAAAAATTTTCAAAGTGCGTTAACCTGGTCCCAAAAATTAACGCACTTTGAAAAAATTTTTCAAAGTGCGTAATTTTTCAAAGTGCGTTGTAACAGTGCCCCATTTCTAACGAGAGTCGTGACTTCAATGATTATGGGTCCTAGAATGAAGCTTGATTTTACTCCTTTAAAGATGAATAATCTAAAAAAAATATATAAATTTTCTCAGACAACCGTCTCTCAGTATATATTTGTAAATCACCAATATCATGAATAAAGAGCATTGGGAACTGATATTTTTGTCTAGCAGATGGTGTTTTATCTGATATCACTTAATGTTCATGCATTTCTCTAATGCATGTACAGTATTTTAGAAAGCAAAAACATTCTGCGGATTTTTTTTTTAAATTCGGAAATCTAAGCAAAGAGAAAAAAAAATCATGAGCATGTGCATGAATACATGTATACGATATGTTTTAATTCATCAATCAATATTTTATTATGTCAGTTCATAAAAAATATATATATATACGATACGACCTCTCTTCCCATTCACACAAAATATTTGAAACAAATTCCTTTTTTTAAATTGCAAAAACAATTTACATTCATAATTAAGCTCAAAGACAATCATAATAATTATTTTCGTAGGCAAATTCTCATAATCAATATATGCTTTATTAATTTAGAAAAAAAAATGAAATTATCTTTCGTGTAAACATGTACAATTCCTATAAGTAGGCTCTCAGGGTGTTTTGTGCATTTTATTATTTGTAAATAATTCGAACGTTATTTCAGATCGTTTTTTTTTTGTGCAGTTTCTTTTGATAAACAAAGATTTCACCAACTAAGCAGTCTTCATTGAATCCAGGAATGAGATACCTAGTATAACCTAGTTCAATATCATTGTTAAATGATTCATTTGGATCTTTTTAGTCCGCATTTCAGTGCATATGTTTTTCTTCCTTCAATTTTTTTAATTCCTGTTTCTTTAAATTATAAAGAGATTTATTTTTTGATGCATTTTAAATTTCACCCCATGTATGAGTAAGCATTTTGGTTATTAAATTGTTAATTTTATTTTGTCCTCAGAGAGCGGTCCGTAAGAAAAGTAGCATAAACGTTGATTTTCTTTTCCTTTATATTTTTTAAAGTGCCCAAAAACATGGCTGCCTCTTCCTGATCAATCATCTCTTATTGAATTAGTGTATATCCAATCTCATGGTTAAGCCAGTACATTCCTAAGTTACGAGAAATATCGAGTTTTAAGGTTTTATTACGGAAACCTGATTTCATCTAAAATCATTTCCTGTAATCACTGAATAAATGGATTTTCTTAATGGAGATTTTTAATATATCTCACCACCGTGATTTTTCCCCTGTTCTAAGTTTCTTTTCTTTTTTCAAAATCATAATAATTATATTTAGGCAAGACTAAAGGAATCCCCCTTTTTCTAAAATTTAAAAAAATACTAGTATGCTTACCTCAAAAAAGTAATAATGAAAATCGGTAGAGTTTCCTGGATCATCAGGTGATGTCGAGTTCGTTTCATTGTCCATCAGTAGCATATCCTTAACTGGATTTTCTAATAAAACACTCCAAAACTTCCGTACTATGCGTTTCCCCTACCTAATAAAATTGGTTTGAGTTGTATCCAACGTTTTACTTTATATATACTTATTGTTCTGATCTATCGATTAGTCTCGGCTGCTGGGACAAGGATGTTATGCCATGTTATAGGTGTGATTATCTTTCTTAATAGGTCTCGATACACCGTATTTTAAAAACTTTTTTTAAAATAAATCTTAAGAAGTATGTTTTTAATGTTTGAATAAAATGTATCTTTATTTATGATGAAAAAACACATGCAACTTCTCTTTTTTGCAAAATGATAAACATTTTTTGTAAGATATCTGAAAGATAGGAGATATCTTTCATAGGTTCGTAAAATAAAAATAATGAAATAAAAAGTTAAGATTCTGTGGTGTATTTTATTTTAAGTTCACTGAGATATTTTTAAATTCCAAATGAAGGTCATGCCTAGGGTTTTCTTTATTTCATGTAAAAATTTTAATACATTCTGCGAAATATGAATACAAAGACTGGTCCTGCTGATAACAGAGCGAAATGGTAAACATGGATATTCCGAAAGAATGTTGGAAGACCCGATCTAAAAAAAAAACTACTAAAATAACAAATTCAAGCATCTTTTAAATACTTGGGTGTACAATCAGAATGTTTATATAACAATATCATTTTGCATTAGAAGGTAAGTAAGGGTACGAGTTGTACTGTGTGTTGAATACTGTGAGTTGAAAAGAGCATTTTGGGTCCGTGTAAAACTTAACAATTCAAATTTCTAAAATGAAAAAGGATTTTAGAATGTTAAGATGTTTGTTTAAATTTCTAAATTTCAAAAATTCAATTGGTTTCGTATATTAAAATTTAAATATTTTATTTAAAAACCTAAACTTTCAAATTTCCAAACCAGGTTAATACATACTTAGAGTTTTTAGTTTTTTACCTTAATATTCAAAACAGCCCCCCATCCTCCTGTTGCCACGTGCCTGTATGGTAATTCGAATCCATTCTGATTATTGTGTATATTCAAAGTACATGTATTCTTTTTTTTACATCTGCAGGAATTATTGAAGACAGAAGGAAAAATTCATACATATTGCATTTTTTGCATGATTTTAACACCCATTTGACTTTTAATCCTTTCTCACCTAATTTTCTACAGAATTCTTAATATTTATTATGAAATTATGACGTAAGTTGAAAAATTAATGGCGTTTTCTGAATTTTGTATCTTTGTTGAAATGGATAAATTAAGGTCCTCATATTAAAAAAGATCAATATAAAATAATAATAAAAATTAATTATGTTACAAATGTTCGAAACAGTAAAGGGTCACTTCAATTTTATGACATAAATCACAGAATTCAATCTTGTGCTTTGAAACAATGGCCAAAACCTACATAATAAAGAGAGCAATTTGAAACGTCGTGTTTGATTCAAGTTAGACATATTCAATCTGAGCATAATTAGTAAGAAAAAACTACCCTAAAATTATGTGTTTTTTAAATTTAATTAATCAAAAATTTATTTGTTATGGTACAAACAAACAGAAATTTGTGTTTGGGACAGACAATCTGATTAAAATCAGCTGTTCTGATACGCCACCGCTTACGAACATCATATTCGTAAACAGTAGCGTATGAGAACAGCTGATTTTAATCAGATTGGTGGGACGGACTTTAGGCATGTTTTAAAACAAAATATAGAGGATGGTAATTAATTTAAAAGTTTCTCCTCCCCGCGAATCTCGGCATACTCTAAAACCTGGCCTAGCCCCTTTGGCCTGGCCTGGCCTCAAGGTTCGCCTGGCCTCTATTTTGGCCTCTAATTTGGCTTCAGACCAAATTTTGTCCTGGCCTCAAAAGTTGGCCGGGCCTCAGATTTGGCCTCTGTAAAAATTTTTGGCCTCAATTTTGGCCTCACTCAAAAATACTGTTTTCCAGAATTTGATTGATTTGATTTATTTTTTTATTGGTTTCATTTTATCAAAGATTAAGCAGGTAAATAATATATTTCTGTTGAAAATGTAGATGTGAACATTAAAATAATAATACACTACCACCAATATGATTTATTTTATTGATTTTCTATTGATCAGTTGCAATTCTGAAGACTTGGTTGGATTGATGATGTTACAAAGTAAAACATTTAGGAACATCAATTTAAATTATCAAGACAACAAAGAAATGCAGATGAGTAGTAATTACCTAAGAACTAAAAAGAATTTAAAATTTGCTATTTTAAGTATCACTTGTTACATGTTTTTTAAACTCTTTATTCAGAATTTAAAAAATCTCTTTGATAATGTGGACTACTTTTACAATCTGTTAGAAAAAGTGTCAATATTATGATTTGCAAGTAGTTGGCCACATTTCATATGATAGGGTTCTAATGGTCTGGTTGATAGAATGCAATTGTTTTACAGCACAAACGTTAATAAACTATCATCAAAGTCAACTTTTGTTTTGATAATTGTAGATAGTGAAAGTTGTAGCAGGATCATGGATGACTTAACAGCCTATGCACATATACATTTCATTACTAATTAACTTCAACCTTATCTCCTGTCAAGAACCATGCTGCAGAATTTTTTGTCATTAGATATCCAATTACAGTGTTACCACACAGGAACAGAAAGTTATAAATTATTTGATAATGTTATTTATACTAGTTTCTTTAAATACCAACTGTTCTGAGATTAAAGTACATATGAGTTGTTAACAGAGTAATCAAATCAGTATAATATAAATATCTTGGTAAGGGATTGGTATATGGTAGTATATTTATTTAAAAATTCTTTGGTGCCTTTATTCATATATCACATTTAAGATGATGCAGCATAACAGTAACACAACACTATACAGTGTGTGAAAGGTGCAGGTGATTCATCACTTAACAAGTGGTGATTTTTTCAAAGCTATTAATGACATTTGACATGATTTAGAGATTTTTTCAATGTGCACAAATTGGAAAACACAAAATAAACTCTGATACTTTTTTCTAGATAATTAAGCAAGAGTGTTGGTAGTGTCAGTATGAAATACCTGTCATCAAATCATAAAATGAAATAAGTGTACACTGATCGATTGATAATCAATAAAATAAATCATATTGGTGGTAGTACATGATTATTTTCAATGTAACTGTTAAAGTGAAATTTTGTGTGAAATTGTTTGTATAATTAATGCTTGATTTATATTATCTTAATCTTGTTGATTTGTAGTAATTGCTCTAAGTTACAGACTGCAGTGATCTGTTTATGTGATAAGGTCTTGACCGCTCATTAAGATTTTGCTGGGAAATTTAGCTCTTGTATCAGCATTGCTGACTTTTATCACCCGAGTCTCAGGGGGATTGAATGTCCGAAGTGCTGGCCATGAGAAAATGCAGAATTCATAGTGTTCACAATTAACGGGTTAATTTAGCAGTGATTGGCAGTCTGTAGGTTGGGCAGTTCTTAATATTTAGCGTAGAATTTGTGTGTTCAATTAGTTACTCAGTCGGATCCTGTGTGTAAAGTGTTACACGGGAATACAAAATAAACTTTGTTGGAAACTTTGGGCGTTTTTATTTAAAAACAGAAAGTTTCGGTGTAACAGTAACCATTTACATATCAACAGAAATATGTTATTTAACTGTTTCGTTCTTTAAAAACTGAAACTAATTTAAAAAATCAATAAAATCAATCAAATTCTGAAAAAGAAATTATTTTTGGGTGAGGCCAAAAATTTTTACAGAGGCCAAATTTGAGGCCAGGTCAACTTTTGAGGCCAGGCCAAAATTTGGTTTGAAGCCAAATTAGAGGACAAAATAGAGGCCAGGCCAGTGGGGCCAGGCCAGGTTTTAGAGTATGCCGCGAATCTCTCCTTTTTTACGTGAGGGTTTTCTAAGTTTTTAATGATGCAAACTAATACATCTGTAGATCTACGCCAACGTAAATCGTGATACCATTTTTTCTTGTTATTGTTTTTTATTGCGAAATAAACCAAGTACAATTGAGCTTGTTAACCCAGGTAAATGGATATTAAAATCATTCACATAATTTTCCCTCAGAAACAATATATGCTTACAATAAATTATATCGAGGTTTTTCCGTGAAAATGATAATGCAAGTAGAGTTTGCTTCGTTGAACAATTCTTCTGATGATAAATATCATTAAAAATCCTAATAATGTTACTATTATTTTATGGTGATGTGTACATGGCCATCTATAAGACAATAATAATTCCTATTTCTGTGTCTGCTGTGAAGATAATCGGTATAGCAAACAAATGACACTTCTGTGGCAAATGGAACCCTTTAATGAGTTTAATCATGTTCAGAAGAACTAATAAAAAGGAACCCGACTTCACAAATCAGATGTGTCAAAAGACACCTTAGCTTAGCTGGTCTTCACGAGTTTTCACATGGAGCGAAAATGGGATTATTGGAAGAAAATCCTATTGAGAATTCCAACTCAGTATGGAATTATTCATCTTTGGAATTTTTGGGAGGGCTGGATTTCCCCTTCAAGATAAAACACTATAGAAAAGTCTAAATAAATGCCGTATCTAAGAACATTTTGACTTACTAGTAAATTATTCCAGTAGTGTATAAAAATTCAGTTTATCAGGTTAATATATTACATTGGTCTTATTTAATTGTCTTTATTAGTGTTTTCTTTTGGATGTATTTTATTGTTATTTTTTTATCTTCAATTACTTAGGCATATAGTTTTTGTCGTGTTCGTCCGTCTGTCTCTCTCTCCAGCTGTCTGTCTGTTTGTCCGCAAAATTAACCTTGCCAATAACTTTTGATTTAGTGGAGCTACTTTCATATTTCTTGTATGTATTCCTCGAGACAAGAACTTTCTTAGGGTCCCACCAAATTTGACATTTTGGCCTTGATCTAGGAGTTTGACCCACATTTGCAAAAAAAAATTCCAAACTTTTACTTTGGCCATAACTTTTGAACGGTAGATACTAGGACCTTCATACTTCAAATATGTATTCTTTGTGGCAATTGAC